ACAATCTCAATGTCCCGCAAACAAAAGCTTCTCTTTTTCCCCTTCCTCCTACTCCTGGTAACCACTAATAGTCTTTGGTATATATACATATAAAATTTCTTAAAATTAAGACTAAATTTAATAAACAGCTTTCGTTGTTGTAGTTGTGGTGGTTGTGTTTGCCATCAAGTCGGATCCAACTCATAGCAACCCTTTAGCTCCCTTTTTCACATAATGCTTTATTGTTGTATTTCTTATGCCATTAAGTATTACTTGAAAACATGACTTTAAATGATTGCATTGTGTTTTAGGACATGGATATACTGTAATTTACTTAGTCATGAACTTCTTTCATGGTCTTTTATGTTGATGTAAATTTCTTTAAATATCATAACATCTGTACAAAATCTTTATTTGCACCTTTGATTATTTCTTTAAGATAAATTAGGTGCAGAATTACTGAGTCTATTTTTAAGGTTCTTGATAGAGAATATAAAAATGTCCTCTGGAAAGGCTCCCATCAGCAGTATATGAAAATGGAAAAATATAACCATTATTCGATATCACTGAATAATCTGTAGAAAATGTTAAACGGGAACCTAATTTGCTGTGTAAACTCTCACCTTAAACACAATATTTTAAAAAAGAAATATAGGAAAATTATTATTTTTAGTATCTTGCCAACACTGTTGACTTTAACATTTTAAAAACTTTTTGCAATTTGAAAGGGCACAAAGATTTCCTTTTATTTTGCATTTATTTTGTCAAGAAATAATGCGAAAGATTTTTAGATGGACAAGCGTGAGGAGAAGGAGAAAAAGGAAAATTACTGAAAATTTTTTCTAGCCTTTGGAGTTATTTCTGTCTTTCTTTCTCTCTGAGCTATTTCATAACTCCATAAGTTGTAGTAAATTTATTATAATGCAAATGAGATTTGTTCATAGAAATGCAAAGTAATTGTACCTAGTGGACTACAATTGAATATTGACCTGTTTTGCATCTATCTATGCATGTGTGGTACTTTGAACCCTCCTTTGAGTTGATTATAACATCTTAATGGTTCCCTCAATTAACTAATGACTTAAATACAGTCAGTCTCTGACATACATGCACATTTTATATCTGTATGACAGTCATAATTATACTTTCTTAAAATGATCTTTTAACAATTTATATAATCATGTGTGCATGTATTTATGAGGTTAAATGCTGTTTAAAGTCTACACCCCCCCAAAAAAAATCCTTTCAGTCTCTGATAAGTATTACATGAAATCTACAAATTAATCTGGGAGAGCTGACACCTTTATGATGTTTAAACTTCATGCTGGGAATGTGGTGTATTTTCCTGTTTACTTATGTCTTCTATAGTTTTCAGTAAAGTTCTGTAGTTTTCATGATAAAAGTCTTGTTAGGGTTACTTCTAAGGAGCTCTGGTAGCATAGTGCCTAAGGCACTTGACTGCTAACCAGAAGGCTGGTGGTTCAAACCCACCAGCCACTCCTTGGAAGGAAGGTTGGGCAATCTACTTCTGTAGTGATACCACCTCAGAAACCCAAGGAGGGGTTGCGATGAGTCAGGGCTGACTTGACGGCACATAACAACGACGACAACAGGGTTACTTCTAAAAAATTTTTGTCTGTTGACACTGTGAAAAGGTTATTTTTCCTACTGTTTTTGTAATTGGTTATTATTAACATCAGGAAATTTCATTTGATATCTAATATGTGAGCCACTCTGCTAGATTTTCTAAATTAAAATTTCTAAAAAATTTTATTAGTATGGGTTTTCCAGTAGACGTATAGTCTGTAACAACGAAGGGTTGCCTCTTCTTTTCTAGTAGCTATGTATCTTATTTCTGTTTTACATAAAAGTTAATTACTATAGTGGCTGAACTTCTTAACAACATCAATTATTAATGTTGCTAACAGTGACCACGTTTTGTTCTAATTTTAATGAGAATGTGCCTAATATTTCAAAGTTAAACACTGACTTGTTGCTGTTGTTATGTGCTGTCGAGTCGGCCCCGACTCATAGCCACCCCTCCTTGGGTTGCCAAGGCAGCATCACTACAGAAGTAGATTGCCCAACCTTCCTTCTGAGGCGTGGCTGGTGGGTTTGAACCACCGGCCTTCTGGTTAGCAGTCAAGTGAATCGTTCTTTTTGTTGTTATAAAATTCACAATCAGAAAATACCCTTCTATTTCACATTTTTAAGACTTTCTGATGGTGAATTGTACACCAAATGCCTATTCAAGACCTAATGAGATGATTATATGGTTTTTCTTGTTTGATGTGATAGATTAATAGACTTTCTAACAAATAGCACAAACCCTGGTCTTGGTGAATTATTCTTTTAGCATACTCTTGAACTGAATTTTTATTTTTGTATTTTATTTAGTAACATCTCATTTATTTTCATAAGTGATGTACAGCAGGGGTTCTTAATCTTGGTACTACTTACATTTGGATTGGATTATTCTTCGTTTGGAGGACTGCCGTGTGCTGTGGAATGTTTACAGCACCCCAGCCTTTACCACTAGATGTCAGTAGCAACCCCATCCCTACTCCTGCCCAGTTGTGACAACTAAAAATGTCCTCAGACATGTCTCTTGGGGGGTAAAATTGCCCTTGGGTGAGAACCACTGATCTGTGACTTTATGTGTGTGCTGTCTCAACCATGTTTTGATATTAGGATCATGCCAGTTTCATTACACCTATCAGATAGCTTAGGAGCTCTCGTAGTTTAGTGCCTAAGGCACTTAACTGTTAACCAGAAGGCTGGCGGTTGAAACCCACCAGCCACTCCTCGGAAGGAAGGTTGGACAATCTACTTCCATAGTGACACCACCTTGGAAACCCAAGGAGGGGTTGCTATGAGTCGGGTCTGACTCGACGGCACATAACAACAATGACAACATCAGATAGCTTTTCATTTCCTTCTGTTTGGGAACCATTTACAGAGCATTTGAATGAGCTGTTCTCTAAAATCTGAAAGAATTTACTGATAAAATCATATGGTTATAAAGCTCTCTGGAGAGAAAAAAATTTGATAAAGTTTACTTATTTTATTTCCTTGATCACTGAAGCTTCCTAAGTGAATTTTGGTAAATTTAAATTTTTCTTAGAAAAATAATTTTGTTGAGATTTTAAACTTATTAGCATATAACTTTGTGTTTGTTGTTAGCTGCACCAAGCTGACCCCTGACTCAACACACCACTGCCCAGTCCTGCACCATCCCCATGACTGGATGGGACTCACAGGGTTTCACTGCCAGATTTTCAGAAGTAGAACCTTCTACTTGCTAGTCTGTCTTAGTCTGGAAGCTCTGCTGAAACTTGGTCAGTATCATAGCAACACACAGACCTCCTCTAACTGAAGGTGCTAGCTACAAATGAGGTGCATCTGCCAGGAATCAAACCTGGATCCCCCCGCATCAAAGACCAACGCCCACTGTCACTGAGTCAGTTCCGATTCACAACAACTCCCATTGGGTTTCCAAGGCTGTAAATCTTTATGGAAGTAGATTGCCTCATCTTCCTCCCATGGAACAGCTGGTGGGTTTGAACCACCAACCTAGTTAGCAGCTTACTGCCTTCCCCACTACACCACCTGAGCTCCTTGGATCTCCCACATGGAAGGTGAAAATTCTTATTCATCTGCGCTCTAAGATCTAATTTCATTCATTTGTGTTGTTTTTTTAAAGTTTTATATTAGACTTATCATAAGTTTGTCTAGGTCAGTGTGCATCTTTTCTAGGTGAGCAGATTTCTGGGCTGCTTATGGGAGATTTGATGCTGGAAGAAATAATCTGATTATGAACAAAGGAGTATGACTTCACCTAAAAGATAAATCAAAGTGGAATATCAATTTCTGGAAGAGTATGCAAAATTGCTTCCACATAAAAATTTAAATTTTTATTAATTTTAATTATTACCAATACTATTAATAATGCCCTTATCATTCATACATTATTCATTAATTAATGATACACTTAGGAATACTGCATGGATAACACATTCACATGGTGTTACAAATTCAAAGAGATCAATGCACTCTTAAAGGTCATCCATTAGCTCTTTACCCAGAACATCTGTCCATCTTCCGGGTTGAGAAGCTAAAGTGGAGGATAGTTAACTGGGCCCAGGTAACTTAGTAATTAGATGGCAGGGTAGAGCTAAATTCAAGAGCCATTATACATAACCATGGTCTTTGACATAGAGCTCAGGGAGGTTTCACCTGAAAACATATGCATAACCATGCATGGGCTCTGCAAAGATATCCTGACAGTGTATTGTTGTTGTTAGGGGCCTTCAAGTCAACTTTTAATTCATAGCAACTCCCCACAAGAGAGCAGAACTGCCTGCCTGTAATATTCACAGAATAGATAATCAGGTCCTTCTCCTGTGAGTGGCAGGGTGGGTTCAAACTGTAACTGTTACACCACCAGGGCTCCTTGACAACTGTGTAAGTACCCAGTTAAATGCATGGACAACAACGGCAGGCACTGGGTTGCATCTTGTTTCCACCAAACAAAGTGCATTCTTAAACATTACTGAGCTGTCGGAAGGCAGAAGACCTTGCACTATTCCCATTTAATGGAAGGATATATGAGAACTTGAAGAGTACAGAGTTTCCACTAGTGGATTCAGTCATAGGCCCCAGACTGTCTTGTCTCCTTCAGCATTGATGGGGATTTCATATATACCTCCCCAGAGCCCTAGGCTAAGAGAATCTTAAGAGGGAGAACCTTCAGCCTCTGACCTAGAGGTTGGCAGATTGTGGGGCTACCCTGGTCCCATACCAGACACCATGACTCAGATGGCTGTTGGACCAAGTCTCCCAGATAAAAGTGACTATGTTGGGCTCCCCGCAGGAGTGAGTCTTATGCCACTGACCCGGAGGCATCAGGGATTATACCATAACCACATCAGTTTTGGGGGTGTCTAACTTAGTGGTCAGATTATCTCAAGACAAGGGACATAACCTCAATATATCCTTTTTGATGGATGATACATTCTCTTTTGTACCACCTTGCCGGTTACAGAGCAACCAGTTCAAAAGCCTTTATCTTGCTCTTTCTGTTTTTCATTTTCCTCCCATACCAGTATTCTCACCACTGGTCCTTCTTCCTTCGCTATCCATTAGGCATTTCTCCCACAAGTTCCCCCTAAAGCACTTCTAATCATTCCCCTTTGCTAAAGCCTTGAACTTTTATTTGGATATTCATTTGTCCATAAAGCATCCTTTGGTGACTTTGGAAGGTCTATTTCCTAAGGAGTTCTGGCAGTGTAGTGGGTAAAGCATTTGGCTATGAACCAAAAGGTCAGCAGTTTGAGCCCACCATCTGCTCTGTGGAAGAAAGATGAAGTAGTTCACTTCTGTAAAGATTTATAACCTTGGAAACCAATAGCAGTCACTATGAGCTAGAATCAACTCAATGGTAGTGAGTTTGGTTTCGGTTTTGGTCTATTTCCTATTGAGTCCAAATGGGATCAATGGTCTAGGATAAATTCTAGGGACATCTGGTGGACAGGGGAAAGGTCTAGCAATATGAGGAGAGTCTCAAGGCCCAAGTATTAATTACCACCAGAGCCGAGTCATGGATAACTTTTCATTTGTATAAATGTTAGTAAGCAGCCCATGTTGTGGGTACTTGTCTGTTTATACATGTCTTACCTTATTCCAGAAAGTATGTGGAAACAAACTTGTGGTCTCATTTCCCCTCTCTCAAAACTCTTAATAATCATATCTTACATATCTGGAATTACTCAATCCAGATTACAAAGCAGCTTCACAGGCATTATCTCATTTAAAGCTCACAACAAACTTGTGGGGTCAGTAGGATGGGTATTATCATCTCTATTTAAAAAATGAATGCAGTAAGGCTTGGAGATAGTCAGTGATGGATGGGCCAGGACTTGAACCTATATACTTTGATTCCAAGCCGAGGGCCCATTTCATATTTCATGCTACCTCCTGATCTGCAGCACGAGGAGCCATGGGTTAAACTGTAGAAAATGTTGTGAGCAACTCAGAGAATTGCTGCTGTGTGTGTCTTGGACAAAGAATTATTATACTGGCTTCCTGCAGCATTAGGGGGGGACCCAAACCAGAGCTCTGGTCTACAATGAGTGATATAGTCTCTTATTCTGCTCACTTTGCAGCTGTTGTTAACAAAAAAAAAAAAAATTGTTGTTGGGAGGGGCAGGGTTGATTGTTAGGCCACAAACCATTTCACTTACTGTCCAAAATCGGTGCACTTCTGTCATTGGTGACGGTCTTCTTTAGTTTCTTCCCTTTGCTGATGTCAGAGAGGAGAGCATTTCTCCCAGCCTGCTCTGACTTATTCAAGGTAGGCTTTTCTGTATTGGCCTGAAAAGAAACCAAGCAAACTCACATTTATCTCTTGGAGTAAACCATGTACTATACCATTCAGTTGGGGTAGATAGAGTACTGGAAGCTTGTTATTAAGGTTCTTGGCAATAGGCTGTAAATTCCCCACAAGTTTTAGACCCGATGTCATTCTTTTTAAGACCCAGATGTTTGGGACCAAATGCAGCAATAAATTACATTCATTTTTAATGCAGGAAGAGTCAGTGCCTGATAAATATCTCTGAAAATTTCAGACCACAATCTAGCCATAACCAACAGAGCCAGGGCTGCACGGCTACAAACAAGGAGGGAATTTTAAGTCTCGGAGGATACTGCAGAAGCCCACTAGGCTTTGCTCCACTAACTTGTGTCCTGAAGAACTGCATCCCTTCTTATCTGTTAGAACTTACCCTGTGCAACGGGAAAATCACCTCTAACAAAAAGGTCAGCTGTAACTATCTTTTAAAAAAAATCCACTTAAACATTTTAGAAAATAATTCCTCTATCCACATCGCCAAAGATGTTTTTCTTTTTCTTTTTAAAATATAAGTTAGTTTTTTATTGAGGTATCATTGCACACAGTGAAATCAACCTTCTAGTGTACAGTTCTGTGAGTCTTGATAAACATACAGTTGTATAACCACCACCACAATCAAGAGAATAAATATAGAACATTTTCCATTACCCGATAAAGCTTCCTCATGCCTCTTTGGCTTAAGATGTTTATGATGTTTCATCCCTTTGAAAGCTTAGCTCACAGAAGACTGCAAACTGAACAAAGGCACTGCCTTAAAAAGTCTGTGTATTTTCTTACATATCCAGAAAATCTGGGAAAATTCCTTACTATGAAATTGCGATCTCATTTTCTCTGGGTTGTTTTTAAGAGTGGGGATGACAAGAGGCCACATACAATAGGTATTTGCCTGTGTCTGTCACTTTTGGAAACTGCTGGTCTTACCCAAGGAGCCTCTGGCTGCCCTAAACCCAAAGGTCTGTCCAGTAGTCCTGAGTCTTTCTGGTCTAGTCCCAGCCTTTCCAAAAGAGATTATATTTCAGATATGCCAGTGATGGCCATGGGACATAAACGGGGGTGGGGGGTGGGGAGCTTATGGCTTGATACCCCACACAGCTGTTTATTATCAGAGTTAGAGGCCGAGTGAGAGCTAAGAAAAACTTTGAAGTAGGATAAAAATGGTAACTGTGTTAAACCTGTCAGAGACTTGAAATCATTATAAAGTATTATGTGCTCATGATAGTAACAGTTAACATCTATATAGCTCTTACTATGGGCCAGACACTATTTTTAGCACTTGATGCGTATTAATTCATTTATCATAGACATTACATATATTGATTTATTATGTATGTGAACTCATTTAGTCCTCACCAATCCTAGGTTTGTTATTTCCATTTTACAGGCAAGGAAACTAAGGCAAAAGGAGATGAAACCATTTGCTCTAGGTCACCTAGTTAAGAAGAGGAGGAGGTTGGATTTCACTGGTGATTGTCTGATCCCAAAGCCTTCCCGATAACCTGACAGAAGAGTAACCATTGGATATAAAATGCCCCTTCTCCATCAGCCCCCACCACTCCCCTGTTAAGAGCTTCTTGGCTCTCTTCCCAGAAATGCTCCTTACATTTATACTTTGCTTTTGCTAATGGGATCATCTTCTACTGGAGTTGAAAGGAACTTTTAAAATTACCTACTGTTTTAATCTTAAGGATAAAAAAACCTAAGGTCCAAAGAGGTTAAGTGACATGTCCAAATTGGCGATCCTAACAGTTTGTGGTCTGCACCCTTCAGTGGCCTCCTGTTCTGCCTCAAAATTGTTTCTGACACCTGACCTCCTTAAAGGCTAACTTCTCAAGTCCAGGGTCCTTAACCACATAGTTCCACTAGGACAGTATCCTGTGATATGCAACCCCCCCTTTCCCGTTCCTCATCTCTATATCCGATTTCTCCAGGCTCTTGCTTTCGTTAGGTAGTAATGGATAGAGATGAGTTGATAGGATAAACCAGCATTTCTCAAACTTTAATCATTTTGGCACAACCTTCATGATCTGTCATCTTCTCATGCCACCTGTGTTATTTATTGGATATCTTCATTAAATCAATTCACTATAGTGGACATTTTCTTTTAAATTAACTCACTCTTAAATCCTGTGTTTGATACACTGGGTATTCTTTTTAGAATGTACATTAAAATACCTGAATATTAAAGTTAAAAAATATTGATCTAAGTGCCACCCAGAAGTAGTATGCAGATCACAGCTTTGGGGAAATGAGGGACTAAGCTTGCTTGTTTAGCCAGATAAGGGCTTCTCAAGCCATTGATGCGAAGGCCTAGTTCTTTAAAAAGACTTTTTTTCCAATCCATCACAGATCGGTATTTTTGTAAAATAACAATGAATCATTACAAAAATGAGTTAGTTTTTTAAAAAGATACACAAAATACAATATTATTAGGAAAAAAAACCTATGAAATTATTTTCAAGTTACTATAAACATTTCTAAATGCCTACTCTGAATTTCTACACTTCTTTAAGAACTCTTAACAAGTGGTTGGCAAACCACACTTTGAATAGCATTGAGCTAATTAATGGTCTGGTCTTTCATCTGGGTTCTAACCTCAGATGGGGTACAGCTGTGTCCCATGAAAGCTGGGGGCAAGAGATCTGCCTTCTCTGGGCTTCAGGTTCCCCATGTGAAAAATTAAGGGGCCATTACTTTGTGAGGCTCCTCAGCAGTGAAGGCTGGAGGAGTCCTTTGCAATGGAGTGTCTTAGAGCTTTTCCGTATCACAAGGTGGGAGCTGTCTGCTTCCAGGAGAGAGGTGCTGCCTGGAAGAGGGTACAGTGACTTCCAAGGAAGGTCTATCAAGGCACCAGGATGAGTCCAGTCAAGAAGTCCCTTGGGAAAGTAGAACTTTAGATGCAAAGATAGATTCAAAGAAGAATGTGAGAGTGTGTGTGTGTGTGTGTTTGTGTAGGGGGTGGAGGTGATGGTGGGGATGATATCCATCAAAAACAGAGAGTGGGAAGAAAGGAGGAAAGGCTCACAAAAGAAACAAGTGAGACCAGAGGAAATTTTTAATTGATACATTTTCACACAGGGTAAGACCTGGATTTCTACACTGTCCTGCCTAGAAGTTAAAGTTCTTTGGAATCGAAGCAATCCATACAGGTCTCAGAACTGTTCTGTGAATGCTTGTGTTGGGTTGGCACATGGGAATGAATAGAATGGTTCCCTTGGTGGACATGGTGGAAGAAATCTAAGGAATCCAAATTCCATGCTTGTACCATGCATTGCAGGAGCTCTGGTAGCATAGTGCCTAAGGCACTTGACTGCTAACCAGAAGGCTGGCGGTTCAAACCCACCAGCCACTCCTCGAAAGGAAGGCTGGGCAATCTACTTCCATAGTGATACCGCCTCGGAAACCCAAGGAAGGGTCGCTATGAGTTGGGGCTGACTTGATGGCACATAACAACAACAACAACACCATGCATTGCATGAGACCTTAGACAAAAAGAACCTTTGGTGTTTGTGTTCACTAGGACTCAGGGTTTGGCTGACCTGGAAAGCCTGTTATATCATATTTAAGTCACAATGCAAATACAGTTAAAACAAATATACATATGGCAGGTTTTGGTTTCCTTTGACATGCTTTATGCATACATAATGGATGGTGAAGAGCAACTCACCAGTGCAAATGTCGGGGGCGGTGGAGGTGCTGGAGGGGGAGGGACGGGCATCTTGGATAGTTAAACTTTCAACAGTCTTGCTGATAAATCTGTAGAAACAAAACAAAATCAAAACAGTCATATATTAGACATTTTAATACTCTGTCCTAAAATGCCTTCCCTGTTTCTTATCAAAGTGACAGTTATTAACACAGGCCAACTCTTTTTTTTAAAATTCATTTTGTTGTTGTTCTTACTAAGAGTCTACACAGCAAAATATACACCAATTCAATAGTATCTACATGTACAATACAGTGACATTGATTGTATTCTTTTGAGTTGTGCAACGATTCTCACCGTCCTTTTCTGAGTTGTTCCCCCCATTAACATGAACTCACTGCCCCCTAAAATCCCCATCTAATCTTCCAAGTAGCTATTGTCAATTTGAACCCTTTTTTTTTATTAGGATTTGGGTGAAGATTTACAGAGTAAATTCACTTTTCATACAGCAGTTCACATATACTTTGTCTCATGTCATTGACCAAAATTTACAATGCAGCAGCTCCCCTCCCACTTCCTCCCCATAGTTACCTCCTCCCAGTGTCCATCCCTTCATACTCTTCTGCACCCTGAGAGGCCCATTGTCTGCCAACCCAGTATATGATCTTGGATACACTCTCCATTTAGACATACATAATTGTTTAGCTTGTTCACCCATCTATCCGTCCCTATACCCATGTTTGCTTTCATTGACAACTCAGTATTGTATTTGCAAAGGGGTTCATATTTGTTGTTTGTACTGCCCATGTAACTCTCTCTGTCTTTCTCATCCTCAATGCTGCTATATTGGTCACTCACATTTGGTACATTGCCCTTCTCTTCACCCAAATCAATATTTATCTCTATCTATCTAACAGCATTCCCTCCCCTTCCCTCCCACCCCTGGTAACCAACAAAGAAAATGTCCTCCAATATATAAACCTTTCCTTAACTTTCACAATAATGGACTAATACAATATTTGTCCTTTTGTGACTGACTTATTTCGCTCAGCATAATGTCCTCCAAGTTCATCCACGTTATGTGGTGTTTTGCAGATTCTACATTATTCTTCAGCGAATTTGAGCCCTTTTAAATAGTGCTTAAAGACCATCTTGCTTAAGGCAGACTTCCCCCCAACACTAATTAAGCTAATTAAGTGGTTCAAACCCACCAGCCACTCCTGGGAAGGAAGGTTGGGCAATCTACTTCTGTAGTGATACTGCATGGGAAACCCAAGGAAGGATCGCTATAAGTCAGATCCAACTCCACGGCAGTGCGTTGCATTGTGTCAATTAAGCAAAACTACTATTTGGTTTTAAGAAGACTTCAGGGGATATTTTTGGCTATAACATTTAAAGACTACCTCAGGGCAATAGTTTCATGGGCTCATCCAGCATCCATGGCTCCAGAAAGTCTGTAATCTATTGGGAATTTAAAATTCTGTTCTGCATTTTCCTCTTCCTCCTTTTGACAAGGATTCTTCTATAGAATCTTTGATCAACATGTTCAGTAATGACAGCCAAGCACCATCCAGTTGTTCTGGTCTCATGGCAAAGGAGGCAGTTGTTCTGGAGTAAAGTAGCTACGCATTCCAATTCCTTCTCCTATTCCTGACTTTCCTTCTTTCTCTGTTGGTCTAGACAAATGGAGACCAATCATTGTGCTCCAGGGACTATGCAGTGAGCTAGGAGGTAGAACAGAAGGTTCTGCTTTCATGGGACATCTCAGTTAATTGGCCTGATAACATGTTTAGTACATGTTCTAAATATGTTACCAGGCCAATTAACTGAGATGTACATGTATGTACTACACATGTTATTAGGCCAATTAACTGAGATATTCTATGAAACCATAACCTTAAACCTCCAAGCAAAGAATCCGATGAGGTATTTGGTTGTACCTAAGCAGCCTCAGCAATTAATTTTCTTTCTTTCTTTCTTTTTAAATCATTGTTGTAAATATATCTATCACAGAACCTTTGCCAATTCAAATTTTTATAGGTATGCAAGTTATTGACAGCATTGAAACAATCAGCTGTGCAACTTTCCTTAATCTACATGATTTTTCTATTACCATAAACTGAAACACAATACTCCATAAGTAATAACTCCACTCCCTTTTTCTTCTCCCTCCTACCACCAGTAACCACTAATAAACTTTGGTCTCTATACACTTGCCTTTTCTTGTCTTTATTTAAGTGAGGTCATATAATATTTGTCCTTTTGTGACTGATTTATTTTACTCAGCATAATGTCTTCAAGTTCCGTTCATATTGCAGCCCACTGCTACTGGGTGAGTAGTATTCCATTGTTATGTATGTATCATATTTTATTTATCCATTCATCTGTTCATGGGCATTTAGGTTGTTTCCACCTTTTGGCTATAGTGAATAGTGCTGCCATGAACACTGGTGTACAGTCTCTCCTTGAGTCTCTGCTTCCAAGTCATGTGGGTAAATACCTAGAAGTAGAACTGCTGAGTTACATGGTAGTTCTATTTTTAGTTTTTCACACAGGCCAACTCTTAAAAGAGGTGGAATTAGCTTTCTATCATTCCTAAAGTTTACTGTTCTAGAAGGATTTTGGCAGGAGAGGCTCTTGAGCCAAAACGCCTGAAGAGACTGGAGCTGAAATCTAGTGCCTTATGCTGCTTAATTCCACCCTGGCCAAAGCAAGTCACCACATAAATGAATAAATACAAATGCACCCCCGCAAAGTTTGATGGAAAACGAATCTGCTTCAAGTGGCTTCTCTTGTCAATTCTATGACAAAATCCTTTCTTACTATCCCAAACCAAGCCCCGTTCTCAGCCCCTCTGTTTTTTCCTCCATTTCTCATAAGCCTTCATGCAGCCCACAGCCCATTGCTTGTGTGGCGATTTCTAGAGCAGAAGTGCCTCCCAGAGTTTCCTAGGCTGAAATCCTTACGGGAGCGGATTGCCAGGACTTTCTTCCCACGAAGTAGCCAGTGGTTTCAAATCACCGAACATCAGGTTAGTATCCGAGTACTTAACCACTGCACCACCAGGGCTCCGTATTCTAGGAATTCAAAGATAAATCTCTTTTCTTGACCTGCCCTCAGAGTTCTTCCAGCCCAACATCACTGTTGCTATGGCATACATGTCCCAAATTTCAAACAGCAAAATTAATTATCTTTTATTCTCAATAGTTTCTTAATTGCAGAAAAAAAAATTTCTTAGAATTTAAAATACTAATTCATTTCAACCACTAAAAGTTAATGTGCAAAGCTCATTCCTTGAAACAAACACTTTCTACTGCAACATTGTTAGATGGCTTGCGTTCTGTGTACAGAATGGAATGGGAAAACTAAAATGGCATGACTGGACCTGTCACAGCTGTTGGAAATGGGAAATAGGGCAATTTAGAACTGTCCTGCTCCAAGCAGACTGCTGAGAAAGTGAAATTCTGTAAAACTCTACAGCATCCAGAACGGCTATCATTTATCGAGAATCAACTGGATCCAGGGAGCTTTACTTGCATTGTCTCTAACTCTTACAGTGTTGCAAACTAGTACGATTACCCTCATTTTACAAACGAGGATGGTGAGACTCAGAGAAATTAAGTCACTAAAAAGATCCAGAGGGACTTATTCCAATCACGTCCTTTGAATCCCTGCTCTTTCCATTGGATCACACTGCCTCACTACCCTCCCCACTTTTAATGACCTGATAAGTATTTGCATGGAAGGAAGATGAGGCAATCTACTTCCGTAGTGATACTGCCTCAGAAACCCAAGGAGGGGTCACTATGAGTCGGGTCTGACTCGATGGCATCTAACAACAACAACAAAGCATTTATAGGAAGGCTTTGTTGTTAGATGCCATTGAGTTGTTTCCGACTCATAGCAACCCCATGCACAGCAGAACAAAACACTGCCCGGTCCCGCGCCAGCTCCATGATCCCTGCTATACCTGAGCCCATCATTGCAGCCACCATGTCAATCCATCTTGTTGAAGGCCTCCCCTTCTTTCGTCGACCCTCCACCCTACCAAGCATGACATCATTCTCCAGGGAATGGTCCCTTCTGACAACATGACCAAAATA